CGCCAATGAGGGCAGAGAGACTGTAGGGCGTAGAAACAGGAGGCTGAATCAAGCAGGTTTGAGACTTGACTCATCCCATGTGGGCGGCATGACCAAGAGCTTTCGCTGGCCTCCCTCAGCCTCAACTTCCTACTCTCTGAGACGGGTGTGATAATCCCTCCCAACTGCATAGAAACCGGCATGCCAGTGAGGGTATCATGGGAACCGCCAAGCGCTCTGTGAGTGTTAACTCTCCTTATGAGTGGGCGAGGCCCCAAGAAGCTAAGGGCTGGCCCACGGTCACACGGCCAGAAACGGATGGCCCCAGGTCTCTGGGTGGTCTCCATCTGCCCTGTAGAGTGGCCACCCCACTCCTCACTCACATACACACTCACGGGCCGTGAGTACCATTACCCGCCCCCTCGGGGTTATTGGGACCCACAGGCTCTGCCAGGAGGTGGGAGTCAGGTAGGAGACTCCCAAGGCCCTGTGTTCCCAGGGCCTCTGTGACGGGACCGTCCCCCACCCCACAGGTCTTCACAGGCATCTTCACAGCAGAGATGGTGCTGAAGCTCATCGCCATGGACCCCTACGAGTACTTCCAGCAGGGCTGGAACGTCTTTGACAGCATTATCGTCACCCTCAGCCTGGTGGAACTGGGCCTGGCCAACGTGCAGGGGCTGTCGGTGCTGCGCTCCTTCCGTCTGGTGCGTGAGCCCCAGGGCCGGGGCTGAGGAGGGCCAGGGTGGGGATTTTCTTACTGAAAATGGGGAGAAAGGGAGCCCCTCCCATTTCACACAGGGCTGCTGGGGGCCAAAATGACAGCCCCAGGAGCTTGACCCCTAGTGACCTTGAGTGGCCTTGGAACGGGGACTTTGGCCATACTACAGATCTGAAAGCTAAGATTGGGGAAGCTCTTTAGTAGTGGAATTGGAACTCCGAATTAGCGTCCTTTCCACCACCCCATGGGAGCACTTTTATTATTTTTTTAAACTTTATTATGGGACCTTTCATGCAGCCACAAAAGTATAAAGTGTAATAAACCTTTGTGCCCATCACCCAGCTTCAACAGCCATCAATAGTCTACTGTTCTTGTTTCATCTGTCCCCCACTTTTTGTGGAGGGGAGTATGTTAAAGCAAATCCCAACCTGTAATTTCACTCATAAATATTTTATCTGTATCTTTAACAGGTAAGGACTTTTTTTTTCCTTTTGAATACATGAGGAGCACAGTGGTAGTTTATGAGTGCTCCCATTTAGCAGAGAGGCAAACTGAGGCCTCCAATCTCTCGGGATGGGGAATCAAGCTGTTCGAGATTATTCTTTGTCCTAAAGAAGGGGCTCCCTTGTGCTGAGCCAGGGGTCCCTAGGCCTCATTTTCCCTGGCCCTCCTCCCCCCGGCAGCTGCGGGTCTTCAAGCTGGCCAAGTCGTGGCCCACGCTGAACATGCTCATCAAGATCATCGGCAACTCAGTGGGGGCGCTGGGCAACCTGACCCTGGTGCTGGCCATCATAGTGTTCATCTTCGCCGTGGTGGGCATGCAGCTGTTCGGCAAGAGCTACAAGGAGTGCGTGTGCAAGATCGCCTCGGACTGCAGCCTGCCGCGCTGGCACATGCACGACTTCTTCCACTCCTTCCTCATCATCTTCCGCATCCTGTGCGGCGAGTGGATCGAGACCATGTGGGACTGCATGGAGGTGGCGGGCCAGGCCATGTGCCTCACCGTCTTTCTCATGGTCATGGTCATCGGCAACCTAGTGGTGAGTGCAGCTGGCTGGGTAGCTCCCCCACCCTTGCCCAGGAAACCCAAGTGTCCCAGCCATGGTCCATTCCTTTATCTCCTTTATTTCCTTTGAGTCGGGCTATTAGTCAAGGGCCCTTCTCCTGTGAGGTTGAACTGTATGAAATAACTGATACATGGCTCTTTTCTACCTGCCCCCTCAGCCCCCCAAAATGGCATTTTTTTTCTTTAGTTTCATTTTTCAATTACAATTTATATTTGATATTATTTTGTATTAGTTTCAGGTGTGTAGGATAGTGGTTAGACAACCATATACTTTATAAAGTGTTCCCCCTGATATTTCCAGTACCCACCTGGTACTATAGATAAATATTATTGACTATATTCCCTATGCTGTACTTTACATCCCCGTGACTATTTTGTAACCACCAATTAGTACTTCTTAATCACTTCACCTCTTTCACCCTGTCTCCTAATACCCTTCCCCTCTGGCAACCATCAGTCTGTTCTCTGTGCATCTATGAGTCTGTTCAATGCTGTTTGTTCATTTATTTTGTTCTTTAGATTCCACATATAAGTGAAATCATATGGTATTTGTTTTTTCCTGACTGACTTATTTCACTTAGCATAATACCCTCTAGGTCTGTGCATGCTGTCGAAAATGGTAAGATTTCATTCTTATTTATGGCTGAGTAATATTCCATTGTATATACATACCACACTTTTTAATCCACTCCTCTATTGATGGGCACTTGGGTTGCTTCCACATCTTGGCTATTGTAAATAACGCTGCAGTGAACATAGAAGTACCTATATTCTTTCAAATTAGCGTTTTAGGTTTCTTCAGGTAGATACACAGAAGTGGAAAAGCTGGGTCATAATTTTCTGAGGACCCTCCATACTGTTTGCCCTAGTGGCTGCACCAGTCTGCATTCCCACCAGCAGAGCATAAGGGTTCCCTTTTCCCCACACCCTCTCCAACACTTGTTTGTGGATTTATTGTNTCCATACTGTTTGCCCTAGTGGCTGCACCAGTCTGCATTCCCACCAGCAGTGCATAAGGGTTTCCTTTTCCCCACACCCTCTCCAACACTTGTTGTTTGTGGATTTATTGATGACAGCCATTCTGACAGGTGTGAGGTGGTATCTCATTATGGTTTTAATTTGCATCTCTCTGATGATTAGTGATGCTGAGCATCTTTTCATATGTCTATTGGCCATCTGTGTGTCCTCTTTGGAGAAGTGTCTATTCAGGTCCTTTGCCCATTTTTCAATTGGGTTGGTTTTTTTGGTGTTGAGTTCCATGAGTTCTTTATAAATTTTGGAAAGTAACCCCTTATAAGATGTATCACTGGCAAATATCTTCTTCCATTCAGTAGGTTGTCTTTTTGTTTTGTTAATGGTTTCTTTTGCTGTGCAAAAAATTTTTAGTTTGATGTAGTCCCAATTGTTTGTTTTTTCTTTTGTTCCCCTCAAAATGGCAATTTTTTGTGGTTTAATCCAATGGTTCTCAAACCTCAACCTGCTTAAGAATCTCTTAGGAGTTTCTTAGAACCTAGATTCCTGCCCCCCACCCCAGTCTGATTCAGCAGCTCTGGGCTGGGGGCCTGGGAATCTGTGTTTCTAAGAAGCTCTGGTGATGCTGCTGCCGCAGGCCCAGGGACCACACTGTGAGTGTTGCTGAAACCTAGTGTTTTGGGTAAAGTAACGTAATAATTGGAATCAGGTAGATCCAAGTGCCAGCCCCAGCTCCTCTGCCATCTGCATGACCTTGAACCAATTACTGCTCTCTGGTTGGCTGGGTTCTCTAAGTTTACATGAAAGAACAATAGTAGGTACCTTACAGGGTGGCTGGCAGGAGTGAAGGTGACAGTGAAGGCACAGTGTGGAATTGGCATCCCAAGCCCCTGGGTCTCTTGGCCTTCTAGCACCCTCTCACCTTCCTCTGTACCTGGGAATCAGGTGTTGGGAGAATCCAGAGATGGCACAACCTGCATCCAACCTGCCATTTACTGTGGCTCAGGGCTTGGCTTATGGGGCTGGCGCTGGGGAGGGGTACAGGGGCCCCTCAGGGCTTGGCTTGTGGGGCTGGCGCAGGGGACGGGTGCAGGGGCCAATGAGAAACAAGCCGTGGGGCTGTGGACCAGCTGACCAGCATTTCTGTGGCTAGGGCCTGGCAGGCATCTATCCTCGCCCTGTCCACCCCAGCTCCTCCCCTTCTCTGCATGGGGTGGGGGTCAGTCCTACCAAGAGTGCTGTGCTCAGCTGCCCCCTGTGGTGACGGACACTGCCCTGGGCAATGGGGGGGTGGGGAAGACACACGTCTCCACGTTCAGCAAAGGCCTGTGGAATCCTTGGGCTGCTAGGTCAGAGCTTCTCAGATATCGCTGAGCTCCGTCTGGGGGCAGGAGCAGATTGGTGGGGGGGTTGTCACCTCAGCTGAGGAGGAGACCCTAGGATGAAGTCTCCAACCCCTAGGGACAACTAGACAGGAGACCCCAGGCAGGCTGTCCCTGGGAGGGTGGTCTTGGGGAGTGGGGAGAGAGGGAAGGTGTCTGGGCAGAACTCTGGGGCAGGATTAGGATACAGGCAGTAGTCTCTGAGTAGCAGTTTGTGAATGTAAGTTTAAGGACCTGGGGTGACGGAGAGGGTCTGCAGGGGGTTCTGGCTGTATGTGTGCAAACCCCAAATCATTTCAAGCCCCTACTTCGTCACCACTAACTGGGAAACCTTGAGCAAGTTATTAACCTATCTGGCCTCAATATATATCATCTGGAAAATGGGGGTGTTAATGGTGGTGACCTACTTCACTGGGTGGTCCTGAGGGTTACATGACACACGTCTGAACGCTTAGCAAAGCGCTTGGCCCCTGAGGCCAGAGGAGTTCAAATGTCACAGGCGTGCGTGGTATAGAGACCCGCCGCAGGCATCACAGTCCCCAGTACTAGGCTCCTGCCGGGGCCAGGGCCCTGCGTGAAGGGCTTTATTTGCATTATTGTTAATGACAGCCATGTAAGGCGGGTAATGTTGGCCCTGTGCTCTGAGGCCGCACTGCCCAGAGCCACACAGCTAGTGAAACACTGAGCCTGGACTAGAACCTGGGTCTACGAAATGCCAGTAACAATAACGCCATCAATAACCGCAGTGACGAGATCGCTGACACCCACGCCAGCAAGGGCGGCGACCTCTGTCTACATTCAGCCAGCATTCGGAGCGCTCTGGGCCCTCCTGGCTACCTGGCAGATTAGGAAGCAAAGGCCCAGGGAGGTAAATTAGTGACCTACGAACCGAAACTGTCGGCTCGAGTCCGGATCCCTGCACTGCCCTGCCCCTGTGTGCATGTCTCACACACACACACACACACACACACACGCACACGGCTGACACCCTCCTCCAGCCCAGGTCTGTGGTTCTTCCACTTTGCTCAGACGGCGTGGAGCAGCCGAGGAGGTGGCAATGTCAGCTCCTTGGGCACTGTCCCCGCCCCTCCCCCCTCCCCCAGGCTCATGGAAGCAGGTGTCTGCAGAGGGCACGGGGCACCCTGCCAGGGAGTGTGGGCACCCGTGTCCCCTGCATCCATGGCACTTGAGCGCTTCCTCTGAGTTCCTATAAAGAAGAGGAAGTGACTAGGTCATAGGTAACCCACCCCTCAAGCCCCTGGGGGAGCATGACGTCCATCCGCCTCCCCACCAGCCCCCTGCCCCCCGCCTTGCCTGAGGAGGCTATTTCTGTCCCAGGCAGGAGCCGTGTGCAAACCCTGCTGACCCAGAGAGCAGCTAATTCCCATCTCAGATGTGTTTCTGGCAACTAGATGCCTCCCCCCAAGAGAGGGAAAAAAAGACCAGTAAATTTTGGTTGGGGGCAAAGGCAGAAAAATAGCTGGGCCATAGAGATGGGGCAGAATCCCCGCAGCATATTCCCCCAGGGAGAGCATATATATGATACACAACATATATATTTTCAAGATATTATGTTAATATGATGGTTAAGACAATGACAAAAGTCCTTGGAGGACACTGGTGAAAGTCAGACAGTGAGGAGCATGTGGAGAAGATGGGCCAGGGTAGCAGATACACGTGTGCAGGCTCCCAGTCCCTTCCCAAGGCCCGAGAGAAAGAACCTGGCCCTGCCTTCCAGCATCGCACATAACAGCCAACATGTTTTGAGCACCTACTGTGGGCTCACCGCAATGCGAGGAGGTAGGGACTGGAATCATCCCCATTATACAGATGAGGAAACCGAGGCACAGAGCAGCGGTATGACTTTCCTCAGGACACACAGCTAGTAAACTGGGACTCAAGCCAAGCAGCATGGTCTCAAAGCCTCCATGCCTGTCTCCCCTGCCATGCAAACCTGCTGCATATGATTTTTCTGATCAAATGTCTGTCTCTATCAGGCTGGGACTCCCTCAGGCCACTGTCTCCTGTGAGCACTGGGGGGGGCTCCGTAAATGCATGTCCACTGGAAAATAAGGTTGACAGTGGCCGGGGGTAGACCAGTAACCTCTTAAAAGGGGTCAAATGCCCCTTCCAGAAGAATAGGGGACATGTATCTGGCACTGGGAGTATAGGGCCTATTAAAATCCCACTTATCAGAAAAGAAAAGGTGGCTCAAAAGATTTAGGTTCTCAGTAAGTCCTGGAAGAACATGCATGCTGTGCTTGGCCCTGCATCCCCTGGCAGTGAGGTGGAGGACAACATCACGGAAAGAGTCCCTGTCACCCAGTGGGCCTCCTCAAGCCCTGCCTCAGCCTTGGTCAGCAGAGTCCTATCCTGTGCCCAAGCCTCAGTTTCCTAACCTGCCAAATGGGGATGATAGTAACATTCCTCACCCCCATGAGCAGTTGTGAGGATTCCTTTTAAATGCTCAACATGGAGTAGGTCTGACCTGGAGGCCTAAAGACCCTCATGCTGGCTGAAGGTGGCACCCTCAGGGGCCCAGAGGCTGAGCCGAGGCTCCCCCAACCCCTGCTCCCCAGGTCCTGAATCTCTTCTTGGCCCTGCTGCTGAGTTCCTTCAGCGCCGACAGCCTGGCAGCCCCAGACGAGGATGGCGAGATGAACAACCTGCAGATCGCCATCGGGCGCATCAAGTGGGGCATCAGCTTCGCCAAAGCCTTCCTGCTGGGGCTGGTGCACGGCAAGATCCTGAGCCCCAAGGAGATCATTCTCCGCATTGGGAGGCTCGGGGAGGCCGTGGAGGCCGGGGAGGCCGGGGAGGCCGGGGAGAGTGCCCCCGAGGACGAGGCAAAGAAGGAACCACCTCCTGAGGAGGGTGACAAGGACCTGAAGGACAATCACATCCTGAACCACGTGGGCCTGGCTGATGGGCCCACCCCCGGCATTGAACTGGATCACCTCAACTTCATCAACAACCCCTACCTGACCATCCACGTGCCCATCGCCTCCGAAGAGTCTGACCTGGAGATGCCGACGGAGGAGGAGACTGACACCTTCTCGGAGCCTGAGGATGTCAAGGTGAGCTCGTCGCAGAGCCTGGCTCGGGGGGTCAGAGGTCAGATAGACACGGCTTCACATTTTTGTGTGACCTTAGACAAGCCTCTAAGCCTCCACGTCTCCATCTGTAAAATAGGAGTGTGTCATTGTGGAGGCATTAGATGAAATGATGTGTGTAAAGCACATAGTGAACTCTCTGTAAATGGTGACTGTTATTAATGTTATTAACAAGATTATTATGACCTGTCCTGGCTGCCCTAATACCCTAGTCTGCTCCCTTCAGCCCATCTGGGCCCCGCTCACCAGCAGGTGGCACTCTTGGACAGGTGTTCTTGCCAGTGCCGCCTCTACTCCAGGGCTGGAACCCTAGGGGCCTCTCTTTAGCCCACTCTGGGTTCTTGCCCTTGTTACCTATTTCTGTTTAGGTAACAAGCGACCCCACCTGAGGCTGGTCGCTTACCCCCCAGTGTGGGCCAAAGTGCCAGGTTGGGCTGGGGACTCTGAGGAGAGGTGTGTTGGGCCAGTGAGGTTGGGTACTTGGAGAACAGAGAACCTCAGCAGGAGCCCTGACCCACCTGCCCAGCCCTGCAGGGGGCCTGCTGCTTGGCTGAGATGTCCCCTCCTCCTTCTCCTCCCCTGCCAGGGTGGTGAGGGACTGGTAGTCACTCCCAGAAGCTCAGGCTGAAGCTGAGGCCTTGCCTGGGCCTCCCGGGGAAGCTGATCCGAGCCTCGCACCCCCCCCTCATCCCTGGCAGGAGGACTAGCATAAGCTAGGGTCAGGCCCCCTGCCCACCTCCACCCTCTAGGCCCTGGGCATCGGAGCCTGAATGAACTTTGCCCTGAAAGTTCTTGACTTCTTATTTCCCCCAAATATGTGGCACGCTGACTTTCCAGGGGGCCGAGTGCCTGCCAAGCTATAAATACCCAGGGATCTATGGCACAGACTGGGCCTCGGTATGAGGAGCAGGGGTGGGGGAGGGCTGGAGAACGCCCAGGGCCACGGCTCGGGGGCACTCTCTAAAGGGGGAAAGTAGGGCTCCAAGGGGCATTGTGGGAGTGGGGGCACGTGGGCGGAGCAATCGGCTCCGTGGCTGCCCTGGCTGCCCTGTTGTCCAGTGTCTCAGTTTCCCTTTCTGTCAACTGGACACAAGGACTCCCTTGGTTTTCTGGACCGTTCTGGATTCAGAACGGCCTCCAGCTGCCCTCTCCCATCTTCCTCTTCAGGGCCTCACCCCCCACCATGACGGGGTCCCCTTGAAGAGGGGAGTCTGGGGCTGGGGAGCTTGCCGAGGGAGCACCTGGAGGAGGTGGGGGGAGGCCTGACCAGGTCAGACAACCAGCCTCCCCCACCCCGCTCCACTCCCATGGGTTCTCTTGGCCCCAGGCTGGAGCTTCGGCTGGGAAAATTGCCCCTCTTTTCCAGATTCCTCAGCCAAACAGCCCCTAGGGACAGGAAGTCTCAGGCCTGAGGACACCATATGCCTATTATCTGGGGTTGTGGCAGCCCCGGTCTGTCCTAACCTCCACTCATGCCCCCTCAAAAGTACCTTCAGGCATCCTGTTCCTCTGCTGCCCCCCTCAGGCCTTCCCACGCCTCCCAGCCACCCCCAGCCTGCTTGTCTCCCAGCCTCCTCCCTTACCTGAGGCCTTCGCATGTCTCCTCATGTCCTCACCGCCCCTCCCCAGACCTCATGTCCTCACCGCCCCTGTCCTGCTCCAAATCTAAGTGCCACGAGAGCAGGACCACAGATGCCTTGGCCGCTGTGGTTCTTCTGCACGGGCCACGGTGCTGGCTCCACAGTCCATGGCTGAGTGAGTGAGTGAGTGAATGAGTGAATGAATGAGTGGATCTGATCCACCCCCTCTTTCTCCTCTCCCTCTGGCCTCCCACCCTGACCTCCTCTGCCCCACCTGGTGGGAGGACCCAGGGGTCACATGACCCTGTGGCCCCTGCAGAAGCTGCCACAGTCCCCCGATGGGAACTCCTCCGTCTGCAGCACAGTGGACTACAAGCCCCCCGAGGAGGATGCTGAGGAACAGGTGGAGGAGAACCCCGAGGGAGAGCAGCCTGAGGAGTGCTTCACTGAGGGTAAGCCCCTCACCTGGTGCACCCCCAGCCCACGACCTCCCTGGGGACCTCTCGGGGACATGCAGGTCACCAAAAGTATGTGGGGCTTTCTCCCCTGAGGCTACCCTGCCCTGCAGCACCAACACGGGTGTCAGAGCTGTGTGCCTCCCAGCCCCTGACCTGAGCCTTAAGTGTGTGCATTGGGTGCTGGCAGCGCCCTGAGGGCTGCCACACAGAATCTCCCCGGAGCCCAGCACAAAGAAGCCTCAGGAAAAGCTGCCCTAAGACTGTCATCTTCCTCAGCGGTGTCTTGGGGGAGAAAGGCCTGCTCAGCCCTCAGGAGACAGCTCCGGAGAAACATTTTTGCCCAAAGAGCCCGGGCTGTGCAGAGTGAAGGCTGCCTGGGCAGAGGGGGAGACGGTGGGACAGTGATGGTTACAGCACCTGAGCTGGTGGCCTACACCCCTGCGCGTCTTTCCTTTGCGTGCCCATCGTTGGCACATGCGTGGAGTAGACTGTGGAGGGAGGGCCTGAGCCCCCACTCCAGGGGAGGGGCTGGACCCATTTCCAAGCAGCAGCAGAGGACATGAGGCCAGGTGTTGGAAGTGGGGACCTCGGGTCTGGGGGGCAGTGAGATGCAGGTCTGCAGGGGGCATCCTGGAGGTGGCCAGAACATGCTGATGTGCATCTGGAGGCAGCCCCCAGGCTCGTGACGTGGTGTCCCCTTCACTCCCCCAGCCTGTGTGCAACGCTGTCCCTGCCTCTACGTGGACATCTCCCAGGGCCGCGGGAAGATGTGGTGGACCCTGCGCAGGGCCTGCTTCAAGATCGTTGAGCACAACTGGTTCGAGACCTTCATCGTCTTCATGATCCTGCTCAGCAGTGGGGCCCTGGTAGGTGCCGCCCTGGGGGACGGGCAAGGGCAGAGGCAGAGGCAGGCCCGCCGGGCCCCCTCCTTCCCACGCCGTGGGAGGGGTGCAGCCCGGACAGTCTCCAACCCAGAGTCCCAGAGGGACTCACCTGATCCCCACGGGGAAACTCGCTCATCCCCATGATGGGCACGGGGAGTCTGGGAGAAGCCACCAGCCGGCCCCCGTGCCAGTCCCCTGGGCCCCAGCAGCGTCAGGCAGGGGGTGGGATGTGGCTGCTGCCCGGCCTCCCGGGCTCTGGCCACCCCATGCTGGTGCCCCAGGCCTTCGAGGACATCTACATCGAGCAGCGGCGCGTCATCCGCATCATCCTGGAGTACGCCGACAAGGTCTTCACCTACATCTTCATCCTGGAGATGCTGCTTAAGTGGGTGGCCTACGGCTTCAAGGTGTACTTCACCAACGCCTGGTGCTGGCTCGACTTCCTCATCGTGGGCGTGAGTCTGCCGCCGCCCACGGCCAGGCCCAGAGGCTGTCCTGGCGGCCAAGGATCTTAGGTAGCCCCAGCCCGAGGGGCAGCAGCTGCCCGAGGCCACATGGCACGCCAGACTCCCCCGCCCCATCAGTGCGCCCTCGCAGAGACTGGCCTCCAGGCTCCTGTGGACACAGCTGCCCAAGAGGGGGAATAAAGAGCTGGGGGGACCTCCCCTCTCCTGAAGGGAAGGGGAGCCTTAGGGGCAAGGGGGCGGGTAGGAGGGTTACCATCCTTGCCAATATTTGTGGAGGACTTTGTATCTTCTTTGATGGGCACACAGGCCTCTGTTTAATTGATGACATCACTGAGATGGAGCCCAGGCCCCTATAGGCGTTAGGACATTTCTAGGACCACCAACTAGGGATGGGGTCTGGGTGAGACCCCTTAGAGGTGTGAGTCTAGGAAGGTCCCCTGGGGCAGACCTGTCCTCAAGGACTCTGTCCCTGGGCTTGGGGGGAGATGGGCCCTGCACTCCCTGACACCCTACTCCTCCTTTCCCTTTTCAGGTCTCCATCATCAGCCTGGTGGCCAACTGGCTGGGCTACTCAGAGCTGGGACCCATCAAATCCCTGCGGACACTGCGTGCCCTGCGTCCCCTGAGGGCACTGTCCCGATTCGAGGGCATGAGGGTGGGTGTTGAGGAGGGCTCTGAGTGGGACTGGGGGTCGGGGAGCAGCCACCCCAGGGCAAGGTGCAGGGATCACATGTCTATACTCTGGCCACCACCAGGGAAAGCAGAGGGCTCGGCCCATGGTCCTGCTGAAGGCCAGGTTTGGGGGCCTGAGACACCCTCCTGGACCAGCCCAAGAGCCCATTCCTGCCCACAGTCCTGCTCCTTAGCTCATCTCTGCTGCCACTGGGGGGCGGTAGAGGCTGTGGCGGCTCCCAGTAGGGCGAGAGGGAGGCGAGAGGTGGACCGAAAGCAGGTCTGTGGATTTCTGGGTGTTTCTTCCCAACTCAGACTGGGTTCCTCATGGCTCTGAGACTCAAGCAAGCAGGAAGATACTTGTGCCCAGGGCTCTGAGCCTACTGGCCCTTGAGCTCGGAGTCATGCAAGTTTGGAAAGATCCCCTCTGGCCCTTGAGGGTGGAAGTGACTGGTAAACACAGTGTTTGGGCCAGACAAATGGGACTTCCCCAGTGAAGGGAGGCCTGTTGGGAACGAGACCTGCCCCAGAGGGACAAACCTCTGAGAAGCCACTGGTTGCAGGCCATGGGTGCACTCATCCCCAGTGGCTCCTTCTGTTCACACAAGGGGCAGCCAGTGCTGGGCCTTCCCAGCCCCAGAGTGAAGGACCCCTTCCCTCTGAGGGGAAATGACCTGCCCATGGCCACACAGATGCTTGGTGACCCAGCCAGTAATAGAGGCCCTGGGCATCACCAGGTCTGTGCCACCCACTCCATCTGGAGGTCATGAAAGGGCTTCTCCTTGAAAAGAGACAATTCTCAGATTTGGCTTAGTCTGAAATAGTGAGATTGGACTGTGTGGCCAGGGCTGGTGGGGCACAAGGCTCTGGTCCCAGGGCCCAACTGCTTTAATGGGCCTGGTGGCTTCTTTTCTGTACTTTCCTGTGTCTCCAATGCTGTGAGCAGGTGAGCAGGGAGCCAGTCACGGGGGTTGAGTTTCCTATGGGGGCCGAGGAAAGAGTGTTTGTCTCTTGCCTGGTGACCCATGGCCTGACTGCTTCCAGAGAAACCCAGCACCCCAACTCTGGGCTGATGGCTCCAGCCAAGCAGAGAGCCCTCTCCAACCACGAGACTGACAGTCCCCAACCCTGCTCTTTGCTCTCTTGCCTGGAACCATAGAGTCCAGCAGACTTCCCCAGGCCTGGCTCAGAGTGGCCCTCCTCCAGGAAGCCTTCCCTGAACAGTCATGCCCAGCCCTTCCTAGTCTCCTGGTTAGTGTAGGTGGGGAGCCAGAGGAGACCAGGTTTCCTCTACCTTCCTGGGAGAAGATCTGGCCATGACTCCCTCCCCGGCCCCCCAGGTGGTGGTGAATGCCCTCCTGGGAGCCATCCCCTCCATCATGAACGTGCTGCTCGTCTGCCTCATCTTCTGGCTCATCTTCAGCATCATGGGCGTCAATCTGTTTGCTGGCAAGTTCTACTACTGCATCAACACCACCACCTCCGAGAGGTTCGACATCTCCGAGGTCAACAATAAATCCCAGTGTGAGAGTTTGATGCACACAGGACAGGTCCGCTGGCTCAACGTCAAGGTCAATTATGACAACGTGGGTCTGGGCTACCTCTCCCTCCTGCAGGTGGTAAGTGTGACCCCCTAGCCCTGCAGGGACCTGGGATGGATGTGCCCCATCTTTTGTTGTACCTGGGCCCACTGCCACTCCTTGTTAGGGAGCTGCCCACCCTGCTTCTAGGGCTGCAGGTCCCTGAAGTAGTGTCCAGACCTCTCTGGCCTCTACCTGATGTCTGCCCAGTGGGGCTGTGGGCAGGTGGCCTGTGGAGAGGACCAGGTTGGATGACAGAGGCAGCAGGCAGTCTCCTCCCCTCACACCCAACCACACTCTCTCAGGCCACCTTCAAAGGCTGGATGGACATCATGTATGCAGCTGTGGACTCCCGGGAGGTGAGTGGGGGTAGCCGAGATATGGCGAGGGAGTGAGCCAAGGGGGAGGACTCAGACCAGGGATGCAGTGTGCATTCTGCTCATCCCCACCCTTACCCCCATGTCCCCTCCTCGGGAGCTCCTGAGACTCTGGAGTGGATGGGCCCACCCCTGGGCCCCAGGCCCCTCCTGCCACAGTGGGCCAGAGAGCACAGAGCAGCCAGCATGTGTCCCCAAGCCCACGCAGCGTACCCTGTCCTTCCCTGTGGCCCCTGCAGCAAGAGGAGCAGCCGCAGTACGAGGTGAACCTCTACATGTACCTCTATTTCGTCATCTTCATCATCTTCGGATCCTTCTTCACCCTCAACCTCTTCATCGGCGTCATCATCGACAACTTCAACCAGCAGAAAAAGAAGATGAGTATCCAGCCCCGCCTCCCTGGGCCTCCCCATACCGCCCCGCCCCCCGTCCTTGGTCCACTCAGCCCTTTATGGCTCACACTCCGCCTCACCACCCACCGTGCTGCCACTGGCAACGCAGCTGAGGCAGCAAGCCTGGCTCAGATCCCACTGGGCAACCTTGGACAAGTGATGTGGCCTCCCTAAACCTCGGCTTTCTTATCTATAGAATAAGGGTGATGCTAACTGCCTCTCTAGGTCATTCTGGGGTCCCAACTAGATATTGATGGGAAGTGGCCCAAAGCAGGCTGTGAGGCAGCACAGGTTCCCTTTTCTCTGTCACTCCCTCCTCTCCCCTCCCTCAACCCCCATCTCTGTCCCCTCCATGCCCTCCTCCCCCCTTTCCACCCAGGCCCCCTGCTGGGATAGGGGCTGCTTTAGGGGTGATACCTGAGGTAGGGAGATCGTGGTGGCAGAGAAGGGGGACCTCCCAACCTTACGGGCTCCATCCCACTATACTTTGGAGGGAAAGACATCTTCATGACGGAGGAACAGAAGAAATACTATAATGCCATGAAGAAGCTTGGCTCCAAGAAACCTCAGAAGCCAATTCCGCGGCCCCAGGTACTGCCCTCTGGGCCCCTCTTCCTGCAGCCTGCATGAGGCTCCCGCCTGAGGGGACCCATGGGCCAAAATGGAGCCTGCGCTTTGCCCTCCAGGCTACTTACCTGGAGTGAGGCTGGGTTCACCTGCAGGAAGGCTGGGTCCACCTGCTCTCTGTAACTGTGCAAAGGCACTGCATGCACGAGCAGAAGCTGCCTGATAACCTCCAGTCTATGGTTCACCCCTCACCCGGCCCTACACAGCCCCCCAATGTCCATTCACCTCCTCAGTTGGTGGCTTCTGGGGCAGGGGCCCCTAGAAGGGGGAGGAATAGGATGGCCAGACATCGTCTCCAGTGGACAATGGCTTGGGGGAAGGGGGAAGGGCTGCTTGGGGACCTTGACAGGTGGAAGGGTCTCAGAGTAAGGGAGGGTGCCCACGGACCCCATAGAATGTCCTGGTCTGATGGGTCTGCCCCCCTTTTCCTGGCCAACACCACCACAAACCCTAACACACCTTTCTGTCTCGTGCTTTGTATCATCCTGTGTCTCCTGCCTGTCTGTGTCCTGTGTGCCCTGGCCACTCCCCCTGCTGGGCACCCCCGTGTGTCCCTACACTCCCACCTGTGCTGCAGAACAAGATCCAGGGCATGGTGTACGACTTCGTGACCAAGCAGGTCTTCGACATCACGATTATGATCCTCATCTGCCTCAACATGGTCACCATGATGGTGGAGACGGATGACCAGAGCCAGCTGAAGGTGGACATCCTGTACAACATCAACATGATCTTCATCATCATCTTCACGGGGGAGTGTGTGCTCAAGATGTTCGCCCTGCGCCACTACTACTTCACTATCGGCTGGAACATATTTGACTTCGTGGTTGTCATCCTGTCCATTGCGGGTGAGCAGGGCTGGGCTGGGCTGAGTCACTCAGGAAGGCTGGGCGCTCCCGTCCTCATGGACACACAGCTGCTCATGCACCTGGCATGCTTACACACATCGCCACACCTACACGCGTGCGTGTGCACCTGCCATTCACACTTCATGCACAAAAGCACATATGGGTGGGCTCACAGGCAGCCGTTACCTGCACACATATGAATATACCTCAAGGAACGTTTACCTGACAAGTATTTGCACACTCAGGTGTCCATGTGCTCTGTGAGAAAAATTAAAAGGACGGTTCCAGCATCCATACACACGGAGAAGTGCACGGACATGCGTGTCCTTCCAGTAGTAACTCATCTATGGCATCTGCAAACAGCCTTGGGACTAGGCCTTACCCTCACCCCATCAACTTTGGCGTATCCCACCTCCATCCAGCTGTGTTGGGGCAAAGATGTAACCCCTGGCCCCAAGCCCCTGGGAGGGCCTGGACTAGTGGGCGAGGCCATCCAGCCTGTGCCCCAAGGATTGAGCACACCGGGCCAGGCCCCCTTGAGCCCCGCATGCCCCCCTCTCCCCAGCTCAGCCTTCCACCCTAGGACAGCAGCCCTCACCACTCCCTTCCTGCAGGTCTCGCACTCTCTGACCTCATCCAGAAATACTTCGTGTCCCCCACGCTGTTCCGTGTGATCCGCCTGGCCCGGATCGGGCGCGTCCTGCGGCTGATCCGCGGGGCCAAGGGCATCCGGACGCTGCTCTTCGCCCTCATGATGTCGCTGCCCGCCCTCTTCAACATCGGGCTGCTGCTCTTCCTGGTCATGTTCATCTACTCCATCTTCGGCATGTCCAACTTCGCCTACGTCAAGAAGGAGTCGGGCATCGACGACATGTTCAACTTTGAGACCTTTGGCAACAGCATCATCTGCCTCTTTGAGATCACCACGTCGGCTGGCTGGGACGGGCTCCTCAACCCCATCCTCAACAGCGGGCCCCCCGACTGTGACCCCACCCTGGAGAACCCGGGCAGCAGCATCAAGGGTGACTGCGGCAACCCCTCTGTGGGCATCTGCTTCTTCTGCAGCTACATCATCATCTCCTTCCTTATCGTGGTCAACATGTACATCGCTATCATCCTCGAGAACTTCAACGTGGCCACCGAGGAGAGCGGCGAGCCCCTCAGCGAGGACGACTTCGAGATGTTCTACGAGACGTGGGAGAAGTTCGACCCTGACGCCACGCAGTTCATCGACTACAGTCGCCTCTCCGACTTCGTGGACACCCTGCAGGAGCCGCTGAGGATCGCCAAGCCCAACAAGATCAAGCTGATCACGCTGGACCTGCCCATGGTGCCAGGCGACAAAATCCACTGCCTGGACATCCTCTTTGCTCTGACCAAAGAGGTCCTCGGAGACTCAGGGGAGATGGACGCCCTCAAGGAGACCATGGAGGAGAAGTTCATGGCAGCCAACCCCTCCAAGGTCTCCTACGAGCCCATCACCACCACCCTCAAGAGGAAGCACGAAGAGGTGTGTGCCATCAAGATCCAGAGGGCCTACCGCCGGCACCTGCTTCAGCGCTCGGTGAAGCAGGCGTCCTACATGTACCGCCACAGCCAGGACGGTAGCGGGGACGGGGCCCCCGAGAAGGAGGGGCTGATCATCAACACCATGAGCAAGTTGTATGGCCACAGCAATGAGAACAGCGGGGCGCAGGGCAAGGGTGAGGAGAGTGGCTCCACAGGGGACACGGGACCTGCCATGGGGCTCACGTCCATCAACCCCTCCGAAGCTGCCGTCCCTCCCTCCCCACCCGCAGGACAAACAGTACGCCCAGGGGTCAAAGAGTCTCTGGTCTAGCAGGTGGCGGTGAGGTGGCCAGCTGAGGCTGGCAGAGCCCTGAAGCTTCCCCAAAGCTGCCCGCTTGCTGAGAGAGCAAGGCTTTGAGTCTGGGACTGATCCGGCTCCCTGTTGGGGACATGATGTGGCCACGCTGGGGCCAACACCCAGGCCAGAGCACCTGCCTCCCCAGGCCATGAAAAATGGGAATTGTGATCCGAGGCTCCACGCTGGGCCTGAGGCCCCAGCCTCTGTGATTTCACCTTCAAGTTGCTCTTCCCCTCCTCATGGACCCTGCTGCCTCTCCTCTTGGCCTGGGGGGCAGTCAGAGCGTCAGAATCTCTGTCCCCCACTTGGGGAGGAGCCGGCTGCCTTCCTGCCACCAGATCGTAAGGGCTGCTGGCCTTTCCCCAGGAAGTGTCTGAGGCCCCTGGGCCCTCCAAAGACGTCTTAACCTCAGTGAGAGTAGGCACCTGGCCCAGGGCCTGCCAGCCCTGCTCAACTCTGGGATACAGTTCAGTGGCCAGCTCATGAATACCCTGGAAAAGGGAAACGTCGCTGGGTTAAAATGGCTTCACCAGCCGTGTTGGCCACTGGATCCTGGTGCATCGGGATGGGGCTGTGGCCCCTGAAACCATTTCCCGGTGTGTCCACTGTCTAGACCTCCACGCCCCTGGCTGGCCCCTGGGGGAAGAGCACAAGGGAGGACCCCACTTGGGAACTGCGTTTTTCTAGGAAGCACGGATGGATAGTACAGGTCGTGTCCACCAGAGCGTCACAGCACTGCGGGCTCTTCTTGGCCTGAGCACCCAGACTCAGGGTGGGGTCGGGAACCCCAGCGCTCAGGAGGAAAAATCGTGTTCCCTCCCTCACTTCCTCCTCCTCGTCCTTCCCCACCCCTCCTAAAAGTGACCCTAAGAATGTTCTAGTCGAGCTCGTGTCCGAGATGTCACAGTGGACCGTGCCCGGCCCACCGGGCCCAGGCCCAGCCTTCCAACCTCCTGTGCCTGGAGGGCCGGGCGGCCCTTTTGCTGGTGCAGCCGATCTGGGCACGGCAGTGCTGGGCCTCCACGGCTCCCGGAGGACAGCCAGGGGCTGAGCTTGCAGGGCTCACTGGACTGGCTCATTGTGTGTGTTCAAGGGGGTGAGCCACGGTGTCCCACGATGCCTGCATACGCGTGTGTCCGGGTGTGCTTGTGTAAATGTGTCAGTGTGCCCCTGTGGTGTCCGACTGGTGTGTGCGTCTTCTGTGGAGGCCTGTCTGTGAGTGTGTACACGAGCGTGAACATGGGTGTAAGGTCGAGTCCCTGTTAGCCGTAGTTCCTCTCCTCTTTTCTCTTGTTTCTTGTGAACAGTTTGATTAAAACTCAGGAAGCCCCAAAACCTCCAAAACAAAGTGTGTGGGGGGGCCCACGCATGCCCACAGGCCAGAGCCCTCCTTTCCGCGTGCCCTGCCCTCTGGCCTCACCGCCCTGCCCGGGGCTCCATGACCCTCCCTTCGGCTGGTTGGTTTTATCCCACCATTGCCCCAGCCCTGCTCCGTCGCCTGCCTGTGTCCTCTGTGGAAGGCGACCCCACTCCGTCCGCTCTTCCTTCAGAAGGTTCATCCTGTAGGGGGCAGCCTCCGCCCTGGCCAGCACCCTGCCCACTGCCTTTCCCTCCTCGGGGCCCGGGACTGGCATGGCCCCCAGAGCCGCCGCGCCTGTTGGACTGGACATGCTGTGTACAGACTGTAGAGCCTCCCCTGCCTGTGCCCCCTCCACACCCATCCACATGGTGTCCGGGTAGGAACAGGCCCGGGCCAGGCCGGCAGACAGGCCCCTTTGTACAGTTCTTACAATAAATCTCTCCCCTCGAGCCTCTGACGTGCAAGCTTTTTCCTTGTGCAGCTCCCAAGTGCATATGTCAATGGGGGCTGAAGGCATCAAGAGGCAAGAAGGGCTGGTGGGGATTGCAGCCAAGCAGGGAAGACTTGGGGAGTCTCTGGGGGTTGAGGAGGGCAGGATGGCCCCAACTCCCTCCTCTGGCCCCATCGGGTTCTCTCCTCCCCCCCTCTAAAAGAAAGCTGGAGTCCAGCTGGAGTCCAAGAGGCCGGACGAGGTCAGGAGTCACATGCCTCCTCTCCCACCCATGACAGCACCCAGGAAATAGGTATTGGGGGTCCTACATTCCCAGCCACTCCTCTCTGGGAACCCCTTCGCTTCTCTACTCCCACCCACAGAGGCCCCAAGGTGCCCTCCCCTCTCCTCAGAGATATGATCCCCTCCAGGACTTGCCTCTAACCCCTGGCCCCAGAGAGCCCAGAGTCCCATGGGCCTGTGACAAAGAGTAATATTATGTAGTGAGCTCATTCCTTAATCTCAGTGGGTGAAATATAATTTTATATATAATTTCATTTTCTGCAACTTGATTTCTGCCCCCCAGGACTGTATTCCTCCCAACTAGTAAACACTTGGTCCTTTACATGGCCCCCATGGGGACTGGGGAGAGGCACACACAGATCTCTCATCTTCCCAGTGTTGCTGGGGGACCCTGTCCTCTTGCTTCTCCAAACCCCTGTGCCCCTTGTCCCCCTCTCCCTACACCCCGCTCTCTTGCTGTTTTGTAATCCTCACCTGAGGGTATGTTTTTATTGATTTTAGAGAGAGGAAGGAAGAGAGAGAGAGAGAAACATTGATGTGAGAGAAACATCAATTGGCTGCATCCCGTATGCGTGGGGATCGAATCTGCAACCTAAGTATGTGCCCTGACCAGGAATCGAACCCGCAACCCTTTGGTGTATGGGACGATGCTCCAATTGACTGAGTCACGTGGCCAGAGCCCCGTCTCTTGTTTTGATGCTGCCTTCCAGGAAAGGCGGGGTGGAGGCTACAGACGTCGGGATGCACAGCCCAGGGGAGTCAGGGGCCGAGGCCTCATGTTCCAGGAAAGAAAAGGCGTCACAAACCCCAGACGGAGCTTGATACTGTTGTCACTGGGGAGGGAACAGCATGGCCCCAACTATGACAAATAACCCTGCAGGTGGTGCCCCAGCCCCTCCCCCCTCCTGAAAGCAGATCCCTGTCTGGCATGAATGGGAATGAGTCCAAAGGACATATCTGCATTTGTGTCCCCCGGGGGGGTGTAGATGCGTGTGTTTGGAAGATGCCAAATGCCCACCCCTAGTCTTTGTGCCCCCTGTAGTCACCCTGGGTCCCAGGACCAGATCCTGAGCAGGCCCTATGTCACACAGCCTGAGCAACACCCCATGCAGGTGTACCTGCACACGTACACACACACCTGTGTGCCCCAAGCCTTCCCCAATTATCCTCCCAACCTTGGGGGACACAAGCCCCAAAGCTAACCAAGGCCTAAATCACCAGGAGGTACTATGCTGAAGGAAAAGACCCCTGGACTTCCCCCCATCCCACTGCGGGGGGGAGGACTCAAAATACCCCCCAGCACCAGGGGCCTATGGTCCCCACGCTGACCTCAGGTGATGTTTATAATCCTGGACTGTTTGTTCTGTGAACTGAACATCTGGCACCTTTTCAGGGAAATGTTTTTCATTTGCAACATCTGGAAACAGCAAGAACATCTGGGGCTGCCGGGAACAAGCTGCTCCTTGGATGAAAACCTTAACCCTCCTGTCCCCACTTTCCATAGCGCTGGTTCTGGCCTGTGCTCCTCAGGGGAGGCCCCCACTGTGTCAGGGGAGGCCTATGCCCAGGGCTGAGAGGGAAGCCTCCAGACCGCTGCCTTCCTCACCACCAACCTTGGCATGAGAGGCGGGTCCACATCTCCCTAAACCCAAATAGACCCACCAGCAGCACAAGCTGTTTGAAAAATGGCCCAGCCAGTGTGGCTCAGTGGTTGAGTGTCGACCCATGCACCAAGAGATCACCTGTTCGATTTCCAGTCAAAAGCTCGTACCCGGGTTGCAGGTTTAATTCCCAGCCCTGGTGGGGCCTCTGCAGGAGGCAACCGATGGATCTGTCCCTCTCGCATCTATGTTTCTCTCCCCTCACCCCTCCTCCCTCTCCTCCTTTCCACTCTTTTTAAAAAATCAATGGAAAGAAATATCCTCAGGTGAAGAGTAACAACAACAACAAAATCTCCCACCAAGTGAGAAAAGGAACCAAGTGAGCGAAGGAGGTTCACACCAAGGCCTGGACCAAATCTTCTCCCAAGTGGCCGCCACACTTGGCCTGCTCTTGCTCAAGAACGTCTGTGGCTCCCTTCTCCAAAGGGTCAAATCTCCATCAACCCCTAACACGGCTGCCTGCACTTCAGCCAAGAGGCTGTGCCCTGGGCCCCTTCGGGAGCCTGGCTTGGGCCCTTGGCTGCCCCCCAGCACCCCACAGCATCCTTTCTCGGTGCTCCTGTTCACCAAGGATGCAGGCTGGTCCAGGACAGAGGGGCTACTCTCAAGTTCACCTACAGGACCCATGTGTATTCAGCTAAGTGCCTGGGAATCTAGACTTCAGGGTGGGAGGCTGGCAGGTCCCGGGGCATCAGGGGGATAGAGACACATGAAGGGAAGCACAGGCTGTCCTCGGAAGACTCAGAGGTCCCTGCTGTGGTGCCTAAGCTGGGGTGACTTCTGAGCCTTAGCAGCACAGCTGACAAGAGAGCCCGCCCTTCCGCAGGGTCCCCAGAGAGCTGGTGCCTCCCCTGGGTCCCGATTTGCATGGCAGGAAGGGGCCTGGTGGGGAAGAGGTGGGGAGGGGACAGGCTGCAGCCCCGGCAGTTACACGTTTTCCCCCCAGGAGCCTTGGTCCCTCGATCCGGGCTTGGGGCCAGCGACGGAGCGGTGACCATGTCCAGGCCGGCGCTGTCTCCTGTGCCCAGCAGCAGGCTGGTGGTGCTGCTGATGCTTCTCTCAGGTACAGCCCCTCGACCAGGCCGGCTGCTTTCACTCTCTGTCGCTCTGTTTCTGCTGCCTGGGTCTCTGCTCTCTCCAACCGCCTCCTGTCTCTCACACTGTCTGCCTCGGCCTCCCTCTGACTGCCTTGGGGCCTGGGCCGGGTGCCAGCCACGCCGATGAGGAGCTCGGGGGTCTGCGCCCCAGCCCCTCTCCAGCCGTGGGTACCAGGCTGAGCTGGGCCTGAGGGGTTGGTGGTTCCGACCGCGGAAGAGCCAGGCCGGGAGGAAGAGAGGAGGAGTGTGGTTCACCCGCGGAGGACACTGCCTGGGGGAGGCAGGGGAGAGTCTGCCCCCAGCCTGACCCTGGGGTACACATATTCCAGAAATGCCCCGCCCCTGGAGGACGGGACAGCCCTTTAACTGTGACTTGCCTCCTGTCTCCTCCAGGTGCCTGCTCAAAGTATTAGGGGAGCTGGGAGGTGGATCACTGGCGACCCCAACCCACTCCTATCTCTTCAGAGTGGGGCTGGGAAGGGCCATGGGGTCTGGAAACTGCTGTTGGGGAGGAGGAAGTGGGTCTGGGGATTCAGAGGGTGGGGGTGTGGAGGGCTGGGGCTGGTCGGTGAGAGGCCCTGACCTGACCTGGCCCCGCCCGCTTCCTCCCAACCTGCAGGGGAGACTGTGTTCGCAGCCGCCCAAAGAGAGGAACTGCTACGGAAGCCTCAAGGTCAGCAACTTCCCCGCCCCTTCTGGGCACAGGGATGCCTGTGTCCAATGCTAGTCACTGTCCTTATGACTGTCCCTTGTCCCCTTGGGTCTCCCCACCCAGAACTCTCATCCCTAGGCCTCCTGGTCTCCCTCTGCCGAGCCTGGCTCCAGGCCTCCTCGATACTCCCCACCCCCACCCCCTGCCAGCTGTCATCTTCACTAGACACAGTGTCCCAGTCCCAGTGATTGAGAGGCTGGACTAGTCAAGCTGGGGAGTTAGACTCAGCCCCAGAAGGAGCCCGTAACCTTAGGGACTCTGACATCCACAAGGGCTGGGGGGTTCCTAGGGGGCCACTTGCTGGGAACAGTGAGGCAAGGGAAGGCTTCTTGGAGCAGGTGGGTGGGGAGAGCATGCCAAGCTGAGAAAGAAGGTTTAGGAATAAAAACTGGAGCAGGTCCATGCAGGGGTAGAGGGAGGTGATGGAGAAAAGAGGGACAGGGGATCAATGTGGCAGCCTCAATTGCCAGGCTAAGGATTTGTGGGGAGCCCCTCAGGATTTCAGATGAGTGCAGGGCAGCCCAGGGCAGGGAGAGTGGGGAGCATGGGCCAGGTGGGAG